TAAATTGAACAATTATAAAACCTCTCCTCTAAAAGTTTTTAAAAAGTACATGTTATGAAAATATATGGATGACAAAAAAATTCACTTTATTTAAAACATTTTTGCGTTTAGAACAATAAATAAAAGTAGCGAATACTCTATCAAGGGTATCGAAAGACGTATACAATTTTAAAGGTACCGTAAGGTGTTTTTCATTCTTTAAACATAACATTTTTGCTAAAATCTGCATTTTTGTAGTTCAACAGCTTAGAATCTTATAAAACAAATTCATAATCAAAATCACTGATGTTAGTTATCAAAAAATAACCAAGATGTGATTTTTGCTTAAATGTCACTAAACTATTCAAATTGCTATTATCCAACACACAATGAATGTTTCTTTTATGCAGAAGTGTTCCGTTTTTTGATTTGTATGGAACTGTCGTGTGTCAAAATACTATCAAAATGCTGTTAAGGAAGCTTCTGAATGTAAAGAAAAAACATCCCATCCGGAGACCGCAGCTTCAGAGCAGTGCTTCACTCGTGATGCGAGTTTGGCCCCTCCTTCCTTTCTTACCTTTATGAGTCAAACTAAGACAGCCTTCAAATTTTGTGCTAAGGAAAAAAGAAACGCATAAATCTTCTGGCGTTCAACACTGTTAGTCAAAAAACACCACATTTTCCATTTTCCTGCAGCCAAAATTATCCCCCCCCCAAAAAAATCTTTCGCGGTGAATTAGTTTTTCTATTGTTTCACATTAGTAAAAATCTTTGAGTTCTAGTTAACAGCCCCAATTCCATTCTGTCTTTACCCTCAGCTTTTACACAAATTATTTCATAATTATTTTCATTTTTCATAAATAGATAGATCTAGTAGCTTGACTACCTTCCTCTCACTCTTATTATCACTAGCTTCTCTTTCATCATTTGCACTTTTGTAGCTTAAGAAGGTTTTACATGTAACCTTTGAAACTAGTCTTGCAAATGTATGAATATTATAATGGTTCTTGTTGCTTTAACTCCTCTAATAATTAACACTTTACTGACTGCTAGCGGTTCAACAATATACGCATGTCTGACCGGCCGCTCAGCCATACATTCTTGCTGTCATCACTTTCGTCACCACTATCACTTCCTGAATAACTGTCAGAACAATCTGATAAATTGTCTAAATAAAACTCTCCAGTACCATTTTTTTCGCTCATCATGAAAGGTAAATTTTTTAAAAATGGCGTGAAAATGTAGGAGTTTACAAAGCAATGCACTTAACACAAGTGGAGCAATGTACAATGCACAAAAAAAAAAAAAAAGGACAGTTCTGTATCTCCCGTTCTACTGGGCCGATTGACGAAATTCAAATTGCGTTCTTTATGTCTCAAAAGCGCGACTTGGAATATATATTATATTTATATACAGCACTATTCTAACATAGGTATTTTAACACAAAATCAGACTTTTTCTGAAATAACATGCCAATTTTTTTTACAATATTTTGATTCTACGACTCAAATTATGCCTAATTATTAAATTTTGTAAAATTTGGTACGAAATTTACGGAGAAATTTATATTGGCAAATTTTTTTTTCAAGTTTGCGCCAAGGAATAGTTCACTTGGCGAAATTCTTAATATATGGCAAACCTATTTTCCTTTTCCTTTTTACATTGTGCGTGAGGTTGGAAAAAAGTCACATCTTTCTTTCTTTCAAATGATGTTCTTTATATTATTTTTATGTTATGATTTTAAGTATATTTCTTTTTCAAATTTCATTATTAATTGTTTAAGTTGCATGGTTCTTTCAAATAACTGTTTTAAAATTTTCTATTTATTCATTCGAACAGCGTAGTTTAAATAAAAGGTGCATCGTTTATTATTTTTCAAATAGTTTTTTTATAATTTTTTTGTCACAGTTATTACTTTTTTACACGATTACCAAGTTTGATAATATTTGGTCCAGTAGTTTTCCTTTTTGAAACGGTCATAAAAGAAAAACTATATATAACCACCCTGAATATTATTAAATTTTAATTTGAAGCTATGCGTTATATGTATACCATGCATAAAATTTTCGCTTTTATGAAAAAATAAACAATCGAAGCAAATATACTTAGGATAATGTACCAAAAGTGAAGAAATTTCCCCTCCCTCCGAAAATAAAATATTGAAACTTCGACCTTGAATTTATTAGGTTATAGAATTATTTAATTTGACTTATCTTCTAAGTCCTAGTTCCGACGACAATTCCGTCAAAAATTCCGAATTACTTACACTGAAGTAAAAGATTTAGTAAATATTCACTGTATGTTAATAAAGTAATCAGATTGTAATAAAAATAGATTATAGAATTTAGGCTGATGCAACTTTTTTCTGACTGCACAACATGTAATGGAAGAGAAAGGTTGTAGAGATCTGTTTTTGACATGCCTCTAAAGGTAGATTTCATACTCCTTTTGTCTCTTCAATGTCAAAAGACTTTCCTTTGAGAGGCAACTTTAGTTTTTGGTAAAGAAAAAAAATCACAAGATAAATTTGAAGAACATGCAGGACGATTGAATACAACATACTTATTTTCGGAACAGCAAGCGGTTCTCCGACTGGTTATTGAATAAAGAAAACATGCATTGTCATGCAATACGAAACATTTGGAATACATTTTCTGACTGAAAACGTAAGATTAAAAGTCATCTGCTTATTCACGGCCATTTAACAAGTCACTACTCGGGCAATTGCAGAATCGTTTTGATACCTGAGCTTATAAGACAAACCTAATATCAGTGGATTTAAACACTTCTTTAATCTTCCGAGAACATTCCTTCTTTAGCACATATTCCTAAAATATTAATTCCTGAATCTTCAAATAATTCGACTGAGAAATCATGGGATGTTCCGTTTATGATACGATATGATGCTCTATGACGTAACTTAAATTTATACAACCATATAGTCGAAAAACAGTCGCTCTTCAATTTAAACTGCAATGATGTGGTTCTTTAACTCAATTGCTGCTGTTTTCTGGTGTGCACATCCAAGTGTTTTCTCCTTGAACACCCAACTTCCTTGAAGTAGATTCGCTTTAAATTTATGCTTTTTTCCCTCCTAATTTTCTTCTTTACTTCTACATTTCATTTCAGTGCTGACAGAAGAAAATTTATATTTTTCAATTGTTACACTTCCATAAAATTTGCATTCTTGTCAATTTTTTAAAAATATTCGTTGCATCAAATGTGTTTCAGCTGAAGATACTAGCTTTTCATTTTCTAGACATTTTAACTATAAATAAAGTTTTAAAGCAAAGTCCAAACGATTAATGTTTGAATTAAAAGATTGTTTTTAAACGAGAAAGAAATAAACCACTCCAGCAGCGCTTATCCTGTACCACGAAATGGGCCGATTTTTATATCGGGTGGAAACAATCTAAATCATATTATTTAGAGTCTTTAAGCCTAATAATTTCTATATTAAAGAATATGTTTTTTATATAATCTACAACACGAGAGAATATTACTACTTAAAACATTTTTTAAGAGGCGTTATGTAAAAATTTATATTTATACATATTTTTTTAATGCTGGGACATGACCCATACTTTCAACCTCCTGTTTGCTTAAAAACATTGTGAAAATAAACAACATACGAACTTTCTCAGTTTTAGACAATTCAATTTAAATGCAAAGTAAAGTAGCAGACGATAATGCGGCGCAGGTAAAAATTTGCCCTCACAAATATTTTTAAAAAAAAAAAGGAAGAGAGAAAGAAATTTTAAAAAAGTTAAAAATTTGAATAATATCATCTATAATTAAAAAAAATAGCCTTTCATATAGTATTAATAAATATTTATTACGCATCACTGAGGGAAAAATTTCATATAATTAATTATCCGTAAAAATTTGAAATTTAAGGTTAAAAATAGCTGTGGCAATTCACTGTAACAAAAATCCATAAACCACATCTGGTGTTATTATCGCTCAAAAAAAGATGCCAAATTTCAATATGCGAAAATATGTAAATTCATCTATATCTTAGAAAACTTTGAATAAAACTCTCTAATTTTTTGCAGGTATGCTTATAACTACACCTTTTTTAAGATGATGGTAAAAATTTTATAGGTTATAATTCAAATTTTTTTTTAAATTATAAAAATTACTTAAAAATAGGAACTAAAAAAAAATAAATGCCAAAAAAAAAAAAAAAAAAAAAAAAAGAGGCTGAATTTTATTTGGAATGAACCTAAGTTTCGAAACGTGAAAGGAAGAATAAAAAAAGAGATATTAATAAATATATGCCTAATTCAATGAACATTGAGGAGCTAAAATGTTGAGAGCTAAATTTTTAAGAACGACTCGTACGACTTTTACAAAAACTTGGCAGTCTGGCATTATTTGAGCTGTAGAATCAAAATATGTAAAAAAATTGGTATGTTATTTCAGAAAAAGTTTGATTTTGTGTCAAAATACCTATGTTAGAATAGTTCTATATATAAATCTAATATATATCCTAAGTCGCACTTTCGAGACATGAAAAACGCAATTTGAATTTTGTCAACCGGCTTAGTAGTACGAGAGATATATAACTGTCCCCCCTTTTTTTTCTTTGCGCACTGTACCTCAATACTAATAATAAAATGCAGATGATACACAAATGGCAATTGTTTATCGCCATGGCTACCGATCGAAAGGCTATTTTTAGGTAGCCCCAAGAAAAAAGTGATTAATAGGCTATCGGTCAGTAGGCATTGGCGAAAATAGCCGATTAATAAGCTATCGATCGGTAAGCATTGGTGATAAAAAAGCCGATTAATAGGCGATGGGTCAATAAAGTGTTCAAATGTTGGATCTCCTAATATTTGGATATCTGGTTGGAATTTCAACTTCACTCAGAAATTAAGAAATAATGAAGGCAGGCTTCATGTGAATTTTTAAACCCTTGTAAGCTAAATAAAAAAGTTATAAAATTGTATAAGTAAGTTATAATTTTGTTATTTGCAAAGATTATTTTATTAATAAGAATGGATGTTAAAACTCACCTTCCCTGGAATGAAGCAAGTATAATTCCCTTCAATAAATTTTAAGTATGTCATTCCAAGATGATTGAAACGTGGTTCAATACCACTCAAAATATTGTGCTTTTTATATAACCTATGTTTACTTCTCTGTGATTCTCGCCGTGGCAACTGATCTTTAATTTCTTCCATGCACTTAATAATATAGGTTCTCGCTTTAAAGTAACCACGATTGAGAACTCCTTTGGCCAAGTTATTAAATCTTCTACATACCTGCAAATATGAAAAACAAATGCACCATAATTTGTGATAGTTACGTACAAGTCTAGTTATTAAATACATATTTAAAAATCAGTAAATGAGCAAACTAAACTTTACAACAAATAAATGTATAAACCTATATTTGTCTAACTTTTAAGATTATAATATCTTTTTATTTATTTTTTAGCAATTACAGCATCAGAAAACCTTGCAAAAAATATTTCCACTTGTATAACATAATTCATACTTTAAACTACACTGCATTTTTCTTTTTCTTTAACCAGAATTCCTGTAATTGTAACATACGTTAATTATCAGGTATTGGAAATGTAACACTAAAGAGCAGGGTTTTTGAATGTTTAAAACAAATATTTTATACAATAAATTTTCTTTTTTTAATCAGTAAAATATATAAAACAGTCGACTTACAGAAATACTTTAATTGGTAGTTATATTTTTAATAACACTTCCTTATTCCAGTTTGATTAAAAAGAGGAACATGTTCCCCCCCCAAAAGAGCCTATGGTGTTTTCCTGTTATGTTTTTACCACCAATCCTCGAATTCCATATTACAGATTATGTTCTTACTGCATTAATATAAATATTAACAAGACATAGTGCACAATAAAAATTAAACTTTATTTAGGAACTTCGCGCACACTGCCCGACAGCCTGCCTGTTTCGCTCTGCTCGCTACTCGTAAGAAACTTCTCCTCTAGGGTTGCCACACTTATCGGAGGGCGCAAGGCGCGCTCCTTATCACCATCACCACAGAGTTTCCCCCCAGTTCCTTTAATGGCTATTCAAAGGAACGACATAGGTTATGAAATTATCTCAGAGTATCCGTGCTGTCGGGTATTTTTTTATGATTACAAAATTAGAATATAAAATTAGAAAAGATCAAAATGCAATTCAATATATAACAAGGTATTGACACATATAATAAACATGAAATAACAAGAAATATGTTAAGATATGAATTTTAAAAAGTGTTTTAAATTGTTATGTAAGAAGCAAGTTTCTTAGGGAAGTGAACATGTCTTCCCGATCTGGTGACAGTTTGTGTCTTAGAGAGTTCGTTTGCAGATTTATTCTGCTGAACTGTCTTTAAGTCTTTATTTGTTTTCAGTTCAGGCAAATTAGAGTCCGAAAGCAAATAGGCTGGTTTCACACGGTCTATAGACACAGTAGATTTCAGACCGTTAACATCAATTGTGAAAGTTTTGTTCGTTCTAGAAAGGACTTTATGCGGACCTGTGTATGGTTGGCACAGAGGTGGCTTTACTCGATCGACACGTAAGTATACATGCGTACACGACTTTAAGGTAGCACTTACGTAACATTTTTCTTGGCAATGTGCAGATGTTGCTATTGGATTCAATTGTTGCATTCTATGCCTAAGATTTGTGATAAATTGTGTGTCATACGGAGATATCTTAGATGACGTTATCATATCACTAGGCAGCTTGAGAGTTGTGCCGTACACCAGTTCAGCACAAGATGACTGTAGATCCTCCTTTACGGCTGTCCGAATACCAAGCATAACAACTGGTAATGTTTCAGTCCAGTTATTGGTCTCGTGAGCCTTGAGAGAAGATTTTAAATGTCGATGAAATCGTTCAACAATGCCGTTGGACATTGGATGATAGGCTGTTGTGATTCTGTTCGTACCCAAAATGCGCGCGTAAATTCTGCAAAAAGTGCGGATCTCATTTGAGAACCTTGGTCTGTTGTTATGATCGATGGGCAGCCAAAACGAGATATCCAACAGTTGAAGATGGCTCTGCAAATGGTTTCCGTTTTCATATCCGGGATGGGAATGGCTTCAGGCCATCTGGAGAATCTATCTATTAGAGTCAAAAGGTACATACACGTTGCCTTCTGATGGAGGTAACGGTCCAACGATATCCATATGGATTTCTGAAAAACGTGCGTCAGGAAGAGAGAATGTGCCCAGTGGTGCTTTAGTATGCCTAGTAATTTTCGATTTTTGGCAAGATTCACAGGATTTCACCCAATTTTTGATATGACGTTTCATATCGGGCCATACATAACGAGAACAAATAAGCTTCGTAGTAGCTGCAATTCCTGGATGTGACAGATTATGCAGATGATTAAAGATGAGTCTGCGAAAGGAATTCGGAACAAATGGACGAGGAATGTCTGTTGATATGTCACAAAGAATATTACCATCAGAATATTGGCACGGTTTAAATTCCAGTTTCAAAGATGATGTGTTGTTTTTGAGAAGGTCTTCTACCTCCGGATCATGCCGTTGAGCTTCCGAAATTTTTTAAAATCCAAAAATGGAGATTTTGTTATGGAATCAATTTCGATTCTTGAAAGAGCGTCAGCAACGATGTTTTTGAACCTTGCACATGCCTAATATCAGTAGAGTACTGAGAAATAAAATCTAAATGGCGCAATTGTCGAGGTGAACATTTATGAGGGTTCTGTTTAAAAGCGTATATTAACGGTTTTTGATCCGTATAAATTATAAAATTTCTGCCCTCTAACATGTGTCGGAATTTCTTAATTGCAGAATAAATAGAAAATAATTCCCTATCGTACGCGGACCATTTCTGTTGACTTTTATTGAGTTTCATAGAGAAAAATGCTATAGGTTCCCATGTTTGTTGAGACAACTGCATAAGTGTGCCGCCTATTGTGACGTCTGAGGCATCTACCCAGATGCTTAGCTGGGCTCCGGGAATAGGGTGTCTCAGAAGGGTAGCCTGAGCAATGGCATTTTTGGCAGCAATAAAGGCTTGTTCAGCAATCTCGTTCCAATTTAATTGTGGGGATGAATCCTGAACAAGAGAACGAGATTTCTTTTTATTAATATAGTCTTCTAACAATTTTATTAAAGGAGAAAGAATGTGTGCTGCTTTAAGTATGAAACATCTATAAAAGTTAAACATGCCTAAAAATCGGCGAAGCTGAGTGAGAGTGGTAGGTTGAGGAAAATCTAAAATACATTTGACTTTGTCAGGAAGAGGTTCAATTCCGTTTTCACTAAGGTGAAAACCTAAGAAATCAATAGACGTTTGACCAAAGGTGCATTTTGAAACATTTATGCAAAGTCCATATTCCTGAAGTTTGGAAAATAAAGCTTTCAAATGCCTGCAATGTTCCTCAGAATCTTTAGAGGCTATGAGCAAGTCATCGACAAAAGCGTAAACGCCTTCTAAATCCCGCGTGACTTCATCTATAAAACGTTGAAAAGTCGCAGATGCATTGCATAAGCCGAATTGCATACGGGATACTTTCGAATAAACCGAATGGTGTGCATATGGCGGTTTTGTGGATGTCGGCTGGGTTAATTGGTATTTGATGGTATGCCTTAATCAGGTCGACATGACTAAAAATTTTAGTACCGTGCAATGCAGCAGTAAAATCGGCTAAACATGGAATAGGGTATTTGTCTTTTATTGTTTGAGCGTTCAATGCTCGATAATCTCCTACAGGTCTCCATTCCAGACTTCCCTTTTTTGGAACCATGTGAAGTGGGGATGCATAATTGCTGCTCGAAGGTCTCAAATGCCCCAATTGCATCATAGTTTGAAATTCTTGTTTTGCTATTTTTAAGCGATCTGGAGCTAACCGACGAGGTTTTGCAACCACAGGTGGACCTTTAGTTATGATATAATGAACGGTGTTATGTTTAACAGGTTGGTTAGGATCTGGTAATCTAGTAACTGAAGGAAATTCTTTTAAAATTTTGTGATATGGTGTATCACTAAATACAGTTTTTACTGAATAAATGCTTGCATTTTTCACGCAACCGACGGTTTTAAAATGCGTTTTTAAATCTTTGAGACATTTGTTTCTGAGATCAGGCACCAATTCAAAGAAATGGAGAAAATCTGCTCCAAGAATGGGTGTGTACTAACATTTGCTATAAGAAAAGTCCATGTAAACTGTCGTCTTAATTTGAAATCCAAAGAAAGTGTTTTTTGACCATAAACATGAATAGTAGAAGAATTAGCAGCGAAAAGTGTTTGTTGGGACGAATTCCGTTTTTGAGAATTATTTGCTGGAAGTAAGGACACGTCAGAGCCGGTATCGACCAAGAATGAAAGGTTTGTTCTACGGTCACGAACGAACAGGCGACGTGAAACTTGAGGCAAAGAATAAGTCGCCTCTATTCTTTGCTGGTTTCGTTTCCCTGCCATGAACAAGGTTTTGTCATCTCTACATTTGTCAGAATAATCTCTACACTTTTTAGCGACCCCAAAACGTCTATGATACGGACTGAATTCTGCTGCCAAAATAAATAGACTGAACAGTCGAAGGCAAACGTTGAAGGAATAATTCTAACATTAAGTTATCAGGAACATTTAAAGATTCTGCTCGACGTTTCATATTTCTAAGCAAATCGGAAGGTTTTCGAGAACCTAATTCTTCTCCAGATAATAATTGGCGAATTTCTTGCTGAGAAGATTCTCCTGAACGATTTATTAACTCAGTTTTAAGCTTTGCATATGGATCAATAGGGTCTGGTTTCATAAGTAAATCCCGTACTATTGATGCAATATCTGGAGGAAGATGAGCAACTACATAATTATATTTAGTAATGGATTCTGTGATAGGTTTGGGGGTGGCAAGAGCAAAGGTACTTTCACACATAATAAACCATAAAGATGGGTCTGATCGGTTATAAACCGGAATTTGGACGGCATGAACATCAGACATTGTGCAAGGTTTTTAAGCCAAAAATAAAAGCAAAAATTTAACTAAAGAAAATGAAATTAAATGATAAGTAGAAAACAGAATTATAAAATGATCTATAATTACTACTCATCTGTGATCCGGAGGACGAAAACCGATGTAATCCATTACTTCTGGTTTGGAGATCTTGAGTGATGGCTTGTAGTCAAAACCGAAAGTGCTTGAGAACTGTTCATACGATTTAACACAGTCCGGGTTACCATTATGGAAATTTCCTGTTATGTTTTTACCACCAATCCTCGAATTCCATATCACAGATTATGTTCTTACTGCATTAATAT